CAGTGGAACCAGGTCCTACTGGTCCTGATAATATGGATTCAAGTGAAGAACATTGAGGGAGGCCTGAGATGGGCACTGGTGAGGAATCCATCCATACTGATGCCAGTAAGTAAAATAAGCTCTGTTTTTCCATCCTTTTTTCCACCAATTATATCTTGGGGGTTCCTGCAGCAAATACAGCATTAGAAAGATCTTCATTGGGTAATTTAACATTTGATATATCCCATGCCCTCTGCTTCCAGAGGATTAGCAATATTTCAGAGATGCCTAGTATCTCTCTTTCTGGACCGTGTGTGGTCCTTAGTAATTATTCTCTGGGAGACTTTTCTTCTAATTCTTCTGGGCATCCCTGTTTTGGATTGAGAGATATCTTTTACCCAATAAATTTTAAAAGAACTGTTTCTGGACTTCCAACCCCTCCAAGAACAGCTTCCTTATATTGGAAAACGCCACAATCCTTCAGATTGTACTTACCATTACCTTGGGGAAATTGTGCTCCTAAGGAACCATGGAAATTGGAGGGAGATAAATATTTATGGTGGTTTGGTCACCGACCTACCTTTAAAAACTCCTTGAGAGGGGCCTTTGATTATTCCTATAGAAATCCAAATATGGCAGGAGTTTCACCTATGTTCGCAGGCATGTTTCTCTGCGGCCCGCATGCATGTACAGATATTAGGCCTTTAGCCCTTCAGAGGGGCTTGGCTTTCAATGCTACAGCCAGATGGAACACATCAGACATCTTTGAAACATCCCTCCAGTTTAATTACGCAACGGGAATGAATTTCTCTATTGTCAGTCTAGTTTGTGTTCTGCCTCCCTTTATGTTTGTCTCCTTTAATGGGTCGGTCGGGGAGGATGGTGTCCTTAATTGTTCTTCCAGTTCCTGCTTTTTGAGCAACTGCTGGTCCCCGACGGATGAGTCCGTGCTGATGGTGAGAATTCCTGCTCTGGTTCCCCTGATGGTAGAAGACCCACGTGATGGACGAGAGCTTATCTTGTATCGAGAGAGAAGAGACTTTGGGATCACCACCACAGTCATCGCAGCTATTGCCATATCAGCCATAGCCGCCACCGTTGAGGGAATCACCGTGTCCCAGAATGCAGCTACTGCAGAGACTGTTAACACTCTTGCTGCCCATGTTACCCAGGCCTTAGAGACTCAAAATACCATTAACTCACATATTCAATTGGGGATGTTAAATTTAAATCAGTAAACAGCCTTATTGCAGGAACAGATTAATGTGTTGTGGATGATGCAACAAGCTTCTTGTTCTCATTTTTATCATTCTGCCTGTGTGACCCTTATGGAAGTGAAAAATATGTCCTTTGAGGTGCAACACCTTAATGCTTACCTTAGGAGGCCTTGGAATGATTCCTTTGTAAACTTTACCCACTCTTTGGTACATCAAATTATTGCAATTAATGAAACTCGTGTTAAACCTGTATCTGCTGAGGGATGGTGGAATACCCTGGCCCAGATTGGGGGTTGGGCACAGCGATGGGGAGGTGCCTTGTCCCTGGGGATCTTGGGACTAGTAGGGGTGGCAGTAGGCCTGCTCCTCTTAAAATGACTCCTAAACACCTTCACCATCACTGAGTTTGTCCACTGTCAGGTGTTACTCAGTCTTGCCTATGACTCTCCCGGAAGTCATGAGGTATGGCTGCAGATGCTGAAAAAATGAGGGTCTCCAAGGACGAACAACCTGTGAGGAGACCCCCCACCTAAGACAGGGCATCGGGGGCCCAATGAAGGGTAAGGGAAGGTACTTCCCTCGCAGGACCTAAGACAGGACTCCTCATTATAAAATAAAGTTGGGGGAATTGTGGGAACTGCAGCCCCGAGTTACTTATCCCTGCCTCCATTTGAGGTGCTTACCTGCAAAGAAAACATAATAAATTCCCTCTGCTCCTGGAACTGGGAAAGGAATTTTAAGTGCTTGATGACCGTTCCTTGATCCCTGCTGAGGTCAGGTTACAGTCCCTTTGCAGCCCCCTCCTCATTTGGTGCCATGGTATAAAAGCTAGCCCCAGCAGAACAATAAAGAAGCTGCTGTTCCACCTCAACCTCGTGCTCTGTGAATTCATTCAACCTGGACACCCTCCACCGAGACTCGTGGTTCCAGACCGTGCAGGCACAGTATTTCACCACAGCAATAGTGACCCTAACTAAGACAGACGGAGACTGGTGGGTTTAGGCGAGTTAGATAAAAGTGGTGGTAGATAGATATGATCACAAGACATTACATAAGCAGATGAAATTTTCAAACAATAAATTTAAAATGTTATTTAAAAAAGAAATGAGTAAGAAGTCACTTTATAATTCATTGGATTTTTAATGTGTTTATGTATGTGGCAATCCCACCATGACCTGTGGTGAGTTTTCCCTGTTGCCCATTTCTTTACATCAAGCTCCTTTGGTTTTCTGGTGGCACTGTCTGTCTTCTGGAGTGCCCTCCCTCACCTCTCTGCGACCCCCAAATCATGTTTGCTCTTCCAGACTCAGGCAGAAAATAGAAGAGAAGAGCAGTTCCTCAAAAAACCGAAACACAGGCGTCACCATAGGACCTCTCGAGCCCACTGCACGTACACAGAGAAGAAACAGCAGCACCCATGCACTGTGCTTCTGAAACACTGTCCCAAACTGCGGAGACTTTGGTTTCTTTCATTTTGGTTTGGGGGTCTTGTACATTTTAAAAAATGTATTGTGTGTTTACATGCACACCACAGCACATGTGTGGGGATCAGAACTTGCAGAAGTCTGTTGTTTCCTTCCACCACATGGCTTCTGGAGATTGAACTCAGGTCATTATAGCTGGTGACAAGTGCCTTTACTCAATGAGCCATATTGCCAGCCCAGCCATATTGGTGAAGAAAAAGAAGGATGCAACCCACACTGTCACGCCAGCATACTGTGGAGTTCCCTAATCTTTTAGAAACCTTGACTCAGGCCAAACCAGGATTCTTGACTTTCACCTTGAATTTCAGGGCTAGCTGGTCTGATAGAACAGAGTTGGTAGTTTTACTAAAGATACCTTTAGTATAGGTTCAAATGTGAGGGTTAGGAGACAGCAAATGAGAAGAAAACAGGACACACCAAGAGCGTTGGTCCTCTAAGAGAGTCTAAGAAAGTAAGACATACCCCAGTGTGGCTGGAATCCTCAAGGGAGGAGACAGCTCATTGTCTTAGCTTTAGCCATGTACAGCATTTTGATGGCTCTCAAGTTACATGGAAAATGTTGCTAAGAAACATACACACAGAGAGAGAGAGAGAGAGAGAGAGAGAGAAAGAGAGAGAGAGAGACATGCACACATGCATATTTTCTCTCTCTTTGGTGCCTTGGCCTGAGTTATAATTGGATAAAGTAAAAACTAGAAACCTCTAAGTTTCCACAAGGCTTTTTAGTACATGTACTTTCCCTGTAAATGGAGTTTCTGATGAGATTCCTAAAATAATATCGTAGTTTTGCAGTGAGAAAGGGAGGAAGGCCTTCAACCACTGTTAACTGTTATTAACCGTGCTGGGATCCCTTCCTCTGGGCTGGGGAGAGGCTTCAGCTGGCTATTGGGAAAGGGACTCCTCTCTGTCTTTAAGATTTTCCTAATCCTTCTTTCCTCATCTCTCTATCCTACCTCACCTTGGGAAATAAATGGAGAAAGAGAATAAGGTATTGGGTGTGAAAACACCCACCTGTGAGTTCAAAACTTTAGAAGCTAACACAGAAGGAACAAAGCTCAAGACCAGCCTGGGCTGCATGGTGGGAACTTGTCTCAATTCTGCCTCAGCCCCAGCAAAAGTAAGAAAATGGTGTACATATGCATATGTTCCTGCATGGGCACGCGCGCACACACACGCACACATACACACGCACACACATACACACAGACATACACACATACATACATGCACACACACACACACATACACACACATACACACACGCACATACACATATACACATACTGGAATAGTATTTAACCTTAACCTTTAAAATATGGAAAGCCCATCTTTTATAGAAATATGGATGTGCCTGGAGGACATTGTATGAAATATAATAAATCAGACAGAGAAAAAGAACCACTGCCTGACCTCACATTATGTGGGGAAACCCAGTCAAACACACAGAAGCATAGCACCCAAGGTTTGCCAGGGCTGAGTCTGGAGGCAGTGGGAAATGTTGGTCATAGACCTGAGCATCCATTGTGATGATGAACGAGGAGCTAACGGTGCTGAGTGCAGTCAACAGCACTGAACTGCAAACTTGAAACCTGCTTAAACAGTGGAGCTTAAAAAGGGAGGAACGAACGAAGGGAGGGAGGGAGGACTGTGAGCTGGTGGACGTGCTTGCTAACCTCACCATGGTAAGTAGCTCACAAGGTATGATATGTCAAATCCTCACTGTATGCAGAGTAATTGCACAGTTGTATTGATTAGTTCTACTCAAGAGAAGTGTGACTACAGAGGCAGGATTTGGGTGGCGCCTTCTCCACAGCTCCTTACTGGGCCCCAGCTGTCATCATCTGCATCCTTTCCAGACCCTTCTCTATGTGCTTGTGTTAATTATCCTCAAAAAGAAACTCCATGGAACCAGATTCCAATGTAAAGCACAAGAGGGTTTTTAATATTCAATCTCGATTTGGACTAAACCTGCAGCACCCAACACAGTGGGTGAGGGAAGGGCAACCCTGAGTCAGAGGAAGGGCAGCCTTTAAAGGGGAATGGCCATAGTTGGGGGAGTTGATGTCCTGTTGTCTTGGGATGGGGTAAGGAGGGCATAGGGTAAGGTGGTTTCTGAAACCATTGGTCAGGGTTTGGGCGTGAAAACCCTAACAAAGAGTCATTAATAACTGAGACAGTATCTTCAAGGACAGGATGCCTCCTAGTGTAACATGGGGGCCAGCTTGTTGGGGTTTCTGTCCCACCCAGTTCCCCACAGCCAGCAAGCCCCAAATAAAATCAAACAGAGATTTCCATAAGTTATAAAACTGATTGGCCCATTAGCTCAGGCTACTTATTAGCTCTTGTAGCTTATATTAACCCATTATTCTTATCTACGTTAGCCACATGACTCGTTGCCTTTCTGTGGGGCGCTGCTCGCCTCCCCCACATGGCTCCCCAACCGGGCCTTAAAAATGGCGCTGGCTCTTGGCCTCTCTAATGGCCACCTTGGAGTATTTGGCATCGAACCACAGCTCCTCTGTGGAATGACTCTGTGTCATACTCTGACGAGTGTCTGCAGTTGCCTGGGAGCCTATGAGCTATGCCCACGTGGCTAACAATCATTGGAGAACAGAGGCTTATAAGCTGCTCACACGGAGGGTTCGGGGAAGAAGACGTTATTTTGTAACGGAGATCTTGCAATAAAGCCGCTTGCTGAAAGACTCTTGGTGTTGCGTCAGTCCTTGCTGGTCGAGGTCGGGCGTGACACCTTTCTCAGCAGGGCAGCTCACATGTTGCTTCTTCAGTTGTCTGGGAAGAACTGCCAAGGAATTGGTTTCCTCCTTCCCAGCATTCCTCTGTTCCCATCGCCCCACCTCTACTACCTGTCTGGTTGACTCACCTATACTTCCTGCATGCTACTCTTCTACCATATATCCTAGGAACATCTGGACCTCATAAATTTTATGGTCCTGCTTCTTAGCTCCTTAGTTGGCTATTTTCAGGGTACCCATTCAAATCTACTATCCCTGCACATTTCTGGAGCTGAGATCTGCTCACCCCCCGCCCCCAGATCATTATATGGCTTAAGATGAAGTCCCTTCTCTAAAATGGAGTTTGCAAGGTCAGGTCCTCACAGTTGGACCCATGCAGCTCTCTCTTCTCCTTTTCCTTAACCTTTATGGTGGCACATTTCTCTCTAGCTAGACTGTGCAAGGAGCAGCATCCATGGCTGAAGCTTTTGCTGAGTCTAGAAGGTGCTTCTGTTGCTGTCCACTGCCATTTCCATACCAGCAGAGACTATGCCTTTTAGCACAACATCCAACTCCAGTGATACAGCCTTGGAGACCAATTATTATCCAATTATTATTATCCAATGTAACCACCATAGGAAAGGCCTAGTGCTAGGCATGGGTTGTCTCTTTTCAAATTGTGGTCAGTGAGGTCCCATAGGTCCCTCCAACATTATAGACTATTGCTATCACTCTTGGGTACTCTCCAGGACCTGGTTGCTGATTTATTCCTATTGCTCATGACACTACATTCTTGAATCATAGAATATGGAAAGACGAAGCTGGTACCAACTGAAAAGCTTCCTATTGGCTTGCTCTCATAGTGTCAGGTTATATTTATACTTCCAGGGGGAGAAAAACATTTAACAATATTCTTACCCACCTGTGAACTCTTTGAACTACAATAATGACTGACTTGGCAACATATGTCCACTGGTGCAACAGAGGCATGGATGCCATGGAAGGAATCAACCATTTTCTGTTTGGATTTAAACTGTTCCACAGACATAAACCATGCTTTGCACTGCTAATTTAGCATGCTTTGCATTGCAATAAATAGATAGATAGATAGATAGATAGATAGATAGATAGATAGATAGATAGATAGACAGACAGACAGACCTATGGCTGTGCCATGAGCCATAGGGGAGGACCCACTATTATTCTGCTGGAGGAGCTGCTTTTTGCAAATAGATAGGAATTGCTACAGAGGTCCACAGCTAGTCATCGCGCAGAGACGAGAGAGAGCGTGCAGTGCTCATCTCTAAGCTGCACATCCGCGTCACAGGGATCACTGTGGGAGGGAGGACAGAACAATTCAATACCCAGAGGTGGTGGATTCTGCAGGGAAGCAGTATTTGCTAGGGCTCTCACACACATTAACTCACAGCTGTGACTGTAGACATACTATCTAGCCAGACAAGTCAAAATATGGACAGAGGAAAGGGTCATGAAGTCTCACCCCTACCCAAGAAGCTATTGGCAATTGATGGCTTCTGAGGAAGACTATGTTTTCTGTAGGGATGAAACCCCTAAGAGTTTACCTCTCTCTGGTAGCTGATCCTGTACTCACGAATCTACAGGCAGCAAAAGTGGACTAAGTGGGTTAAGATGGGGGAGTAGGAAGGGACACGGGAGGAATAGGATAGGAGGGAATGGGGGACTGGTTTGATTGAAACTCATTATATACATATATGAAATTCTTATTTTTTTAAAAAAGGAAAAGGACTCTTGCCACCGCACATCTTGGTGTGAGGGACAGTAAGTGCTGTTTCTTTGTCCTGTCCTTTATCTTATTTAAATGTGGCTGATGATCAGATTCCTCTCAAAAGCGTCAGGAAATTCTACAATATAAAGGAATAAGCCTTCAAACCTCATTTCTCTGGGACTTTACAAGCCTTGCCCCATTCTAATAAAATAGCCTGTGAAGCTCATATTCTTTTGCAAAAAAAAAAAAAAAAATATTGTGGAGAATAAGCCTTCAAACCTGATTTTGCTGGGGCTTTCTGAGCCTTCACCATTTTAGTCAAATAGGCGGTGAAGCTCATATTTTTCTGCAAGTCACACTTATGTAAGACTTAGGCCCCAAATGAGAAGAAAGGCCCCGGAAATGAACTGACAATTGTCCTTAAATGTGTGCTGGGCCTCGGTGGAGAAATCTCAGCAACAGAGCGACAACAGCTTGATGGATGCCAGTCAGCTTGGGAAACAAGAAGTCGCGCATTGCTACACAGAAGCAGTTTCCCTCATTTCCTCTCAGAAACAGCCATGACCTGTTCAGTAATATGAACAGTAAACATGCATCAGAAAAGTCCGCAAGGTTTTGTGTGCCCTGTTTCCTTAATTAGCTCACAAAGTGCTTAAAGTGCTTACTGGATGCGTCCTTGTGTCAGATACAATTCTAGGCACTAAACATACAGCAATACAGAAAACGAACCTAAACCCTGCCCTCCAGATGTCCTTTCACAGCCTAAGCCTGGACTGGGTATCCTCACAGTCCTGTGAGTGAGAACCCGGAGTGCAGATATATGGTAACTGATTAGGATCTAACAGCACAGTCAGTAGGCAGACATCAGCTCCTGCTCTGTCACACTCATCTCCCAGTGTGGTAGTCTGTGAATGCATTTTCAGACATAGGGATTTCATAGAGGTTAATATTCCAGAGCCCAACATAGATGGGAGATGCGGTTCTATAAAAGGTTGAATTCTTCTGCAAACACAAACTGAATCTAGTTTAGTAAGGATTCTTGTCTCCCCACCCCCATATGCTTGTATATTTGTGTGCATGTGTGTGTGCACCTCACTATCAACCACTATCAACAAGACAGTCAACTACCATCCCTACCATTTTTTTTGAGGCAGGGTCTCTCACTATCCTGGAGCTCACAACCAGGCTAGCTTGTCTAGCCGATAAGTCCTCAGAGCTGGGATTACAATACATGCCACCACACCCTGCTTTTATCATTATTATTATCATCATCATCATCATTATTATTATGTGGGCTCTAGAAGTTCAACTCACATCATCAACCTTGTATGGAAAACACTTTATGGAGCTTCTCCCCAGCCCAGGTTAAGCATGGACTCTTATGGATACATGCTTAAGATAAAAACTTGGGGAGGGAAGGGGAATTGTGGAGTGGGGGAGGGAATAAAAGGATTAGGCTAGGAGCTTGAGCTACAGTCGTGTTTTAGGAGATACCAGTCAGGGACTTTGCTATGGATGGTATGGATTTGCTTTCCCAAGTCTTCTGCGTTGGAGTAAGGTGGTCAAGCACTCATACCCTATGCTAGTCTGTGATGAGTGTGGTCTGTCCCAGGAAGGCAAAGCAGCACAATTTAACTGACCTGATCCCCCCAGGAGGCTAAAATCTGGAGACTGGGGTTGGGAGTCTTAGGGTCATTGCTGGTATTCAGAGGCAAGGAATCCTTCATTCCTAATGTGTGGAGGGGGCTCTTCACAGCTTCCATCAGACTATGTTATTTGTAAGCGGATGAAACAAGCAAAATGGAGTTCTTTATGCTACGTGCTTACAGCCTTAGATGATCAGCTGTAGATTATAAATTTCCTAAGCAAATTTTTACAAATCTATAACTCAGAATACATTGAGGGTTTATTTACTAGAACCAGCTGAAATATATACTTAGGGGTCATGTGTACTAAGAGGGAACACAGTTGGACAAACATAGAAAGAAGAACATTAGAAGGCAGATGGGAACAAAAAGGGATCAAAATGGACACAAAACTAAAGCTAAAACTCAGCACAAAACACTAGAGTAAATTGTTTAGTTTTCGGTTGGACAATGGATTTTAGATATAGCAACAAACAGCACAAGTAGCCAACATGAGAAACTGCTCTGCTTCCAGAACACAATAAATAATGTTTTTTTAAACCCACAGAATAGTAAAACATGTTTGCAAGTTACTTTTCTGATGAGAGATTTATATTATAGCCCAATATTAAGACAGCCAACTGAAAGAAAGCTTTTAAATAGCCAGTAAGCTCATGAACGGTGTTTGATATCATTAGTCACAAGATAAATGAAAATCCAAACCATAGTTCAAGACCACTCCACACCACTAAGACGGTGTGGGGAAAGCGCAGACAGCAGCAAGTGTTGGTGGAGACCTAGGCACTGACCCTCACACAACACTAAGGAGCATGAAGTGGAGCTGCTGCTTTGGAGAGCGGGTCTTCAAAAGCTGACAGTCATCACACAAGCCATCAGTTCCCTTCCTAGGGAAGTGTCAAAGAGAAGAAAAAACAGTGAAAGCTTGGGGGTTTGGAGTTCAACAGGGACACTGTGGCAAATTGTCCCCTTTTATTATCTTTAACTATGCACATGTGTGTGGGTGGGGCTACATGTGATTACAGCCATGTGAGGGAACCAATGGTATTAGGTCCTCTAGAATGGGAGTTATAGGAGGCTGTGAGTTTCCCAGTATGGGTGCTGAGAACTGAACTAAGGTCCTCTGGAAGAACAGTAAGTGCTCTTAACCCCTGAACATTCCTGCCCCAGATTGTTTGGGAACAAAAACAAATCTACAAAAGGCCAGACATCAGCATGGTGGTCACTTCGTGACCCTGAGGAGAAGTCATGCCCATGATGTAGAATGGAGCCCTTATTACAGGTCTCAGCAGAAAGATGTGAATTCCACAGCATGAGATGCAGCCAGATTGCTCCGGATTCTTGGGCTGCAGGGGGAGAGAAGGGAATTCTGGGAAAGGGTTGTGAAACTCTAAGGATGTGAGGAAAGTGAGGAGGATGGACACACCCAGGAAAGGTGCACCCATTCTCCGGGTAAGAGGATGTGTTTGCACTAGTAGCCCTCTGACAACCTGAGGGCAAGCTGAGTCCGTTCACAGACTCACAACAGGACTGAAAACGGGTGTCACCTGAGTGGCATCTACTCTGGCATGCTAACACATAGCTCTGTACACGCTGTGTGTAACATAGTTCTGTGCACACGCTACACTGTGTGTAACATAGCTCTGTACACGCTGTGTGTAACATAGCTCTGTGTACACGCGGTGTGTAACATAGCTCTGTGTACACGCGGTGTGTAACATAGCTCTGTGTGTACACGCTGTGTGTAACATAGTTCTGTGTACACGCTGTGTGTAACATAGCTCTGTGTACACGCTGTGTGTAAGTAACACTATTCAAAGAGCCAGCAGCAAAAACAACAAAATGTCTATCAACAAATAGAAAGCTGAAATTTGGAACACTGACCTTCCAAAGGAATGGTGACATGATCCCTAGGTCATAGCTGAGTCTGACAAGCATCATGCTGAGTGAAAATAAACCAAAAATAAATAAATAAATGAAAGAGGCCACATCATGTGATTCCATTTGTATAAAATGCTCAGAATAGGCACAGCCATTGACATACAGGTTGTTAGTGCCAGGGAGGTGTTGGAGCCCAGAAGACTACTTAGTGAATGCACAGCTGACGGACCAATAGGCAGATCCACAGGAAGTGTAGATGTACACATGTATGTATATGTACACGTCCACATGGAACAACCTGTTTTGTAGACCTGCGGGAACATTTGTCTTTTGGAAAAGTCACTGTCGTATCTGTAAAAACCTTGTGGCGCCATGATTCTTCCCTTCAAAATGGGATTCATTCCCAGAACACCTCTGCAGTGTGACTTCTGCACAGGCAGTGGAATGACCTTGCTTCATTCTCCACACCAGGAGGCCTTGGAGCAATGGCATTGACTCTTTGTTCTAGCAGTCAAATTTACAGAGAGTCAAACCCACAGAATTACCGGCTAACAGACCACGTGTAGACGTTTCTATAGAGGACAGGCACTGAGCAGGAAGGTAGCATGCCCCACCTTTGCTAACAAACAAATCTTGGTGTGCCCAAAGCTGGTTATCACTGAAGAGATTAGATGAGGAGAATGGGTGGATCCAGGAGTCAGGGATGTTTAGTAACTTTATCTAGTGGTTTGGAATGTCAGGTACTTCCCCTTGGATGCTGGCTCTTTCCTTGGTGGTGCCACCTGTTCCAGTACTACTTTGTCAGGTTCTACCTGCCCTTTTTTGTGATTTTGATATGCATATTGTCATTGTCCTTGCCTATGGAATTTTCCAACTGTGTCTGTAAAAACTAGAAACCTCGTGGAGATCAGTTCTTACTTACTCTTCTTCTCTTCGCTACGGCTACTTCTTCCCTTTGCTCTCCTTTCTTCTCCTTATTCTTCCCCCTCCTCTTCTTATTCTCCCTCTCCTCTGTGCCCCCTTCACTTCATTCTTCCCCTTGCATGAGAAATAAAGAAGATGCAGAGGTAACATACTAGAGTTAATTTTTTACCCTCAAATCCTCGCCTGCCATAGACATCCAATTCTGAGCCTTGAGGGAGTACGGAGGCTGGTACTCAGGTCCCCGATAGGGAGGTAGTAGGAACGACTGCTGTGAGGTTTCCTTTGGGGACTTGGGGACATCTACAATTGGGTATCAGTATTGGTAGCCTAATTTGAACATACTGAACTCCCGGACACGCACTTCCATGGGTGAAGTATGTATATATTCTGTGAACTGTACCTCGCAGTAACTCCAGGGTTCAGGTTCTCGGCCAGCTACCTGACCCCTCTCATCTCTCCAGGACTTCTCAGAAGGCTGGTGGCCAGCTGGCCCATGCGCCAGCGGCCCTCTCCATCTCACCATGGCTCTCTGGAATCTCTTCGTTCTACAGCTCTCAGCTCCCCTGCGTTAACCAAGAGAGAGCACACCTGTGTTTGATTTCACCGAGTATTTCCAGAAGATACCGTTGAGGTGTAGGAGACTTTTCTAGAAGGTTTAGAAAATGAGAGGATTTTGCCATTCAAAGCAAATGACTTCAGACTGGATTTGAACTGTGTCCATTCCCAAGTCTCCCTCGTTTCCGCCCCGAATCCCTGTCCTACTTGTGCAAGGCTCCCACTGCTCTCTTGGGACGCAGCACCAGCAGAAGGGTTCTGATAACAAACTCTCCATCTCGGAAGCAGAGGACTTTTATCTCTTCCTCATCCTCATGCCCTTAGGCCTAACTGTGGGGGACGACACCTGTAGAGAATTTCTGTACTGTCAGCAGTCTCGAGATTCCTCCTCTCCCGGGATCTCATACTGCGAGAAAGCGCCAGGTTAAGGGCCTTACCCAGCTGTGGGTCAAATCTGTAGTCACTATTCTCTCCCCACCACAAATAGTTCATCTCCTGTCACATAGGAGGTGAACCAGCCTAAGAGAAAGCACAAACAGTGATAGTTGGTAGGAGAAGCAAGAGTTCTCTCAGTAAAAACGTAAAGCGTAAATGGCTTGCAGACTCTCATTCTTCGAATTCCTCCAGAGCTCCACAGCTGTGTCCTGGCCACCCAATGCATGCACGGCCCAAAAGCAGCCACTCTTTCCCAGTACTTTTCTGTCGGATTGGTTTTTGTTGTAGTTGTTTGCAAATCTCATTTCCTCTTTCTTTATTTTGCTTGGATTTCTTCCTTTATTGACTGAGGAGTGGGTGAGTGGCTGAAAAGCAAGTTCTTTGAATAAACACAATGCGACCATGTCAAGTAAGTAACAATGTTCTTACTCTTGTGACATGCTCACCACACTGCCAACACCAACACTACACACCAGCCCAGAAATGACAAAAATCTAGAGTCAACAAGTTGGGGAGAAAAAGGAAGAACTCACTTCTCCAGGGGCAGGCACCCAGCAGCCCCCTTCTGTCTCTTGAAGGGGTCAGTGGGGGGGAGCACAATGGTTGGTGGGTTCCTGAAAGGAGCTGACACATAATCACCTTTCAGAGGTGGGCTTTATTAGGAGAGAGAGCCTTGGGAACACAGAAGCCATGACTGGGCCTTGAGGAAGGAGAGCAATAGAAAGACCCAGTGTATCTTATCAGGGACACCATGATGGGGCCCAAAGGGATGGTGAGGCTCTCTCACCTTTCTCACCTTTCTCCAGGCTCTTTAAATAAAACCTGGAGGAAGGCTTCATTAAGAGGGAAGCTTAAAGACAGACAGTCACAGGGACAAGTAGGGAAGGCCTAGAGGACAGCCTCCAGAGAAATCCCCAAGCACAGGAGAGAATCTGACGTTTGTGTCCTTTCAGAGGGCGACAGGAAGCTCCACACCTGTGATTTACTCTAAACAGTTCATCTGACAGGGAGAATGGCATAGCCAGGTATGGGCAGGACTGCGAAGCCACAACACAGTATGGCTTCTTAATGCCCTGTCCCAGATTCGTCAGGGTGTGTGGTGTGTGAGTGTGTATATGTGCATGTGTGTGAGAGTGTGTGTGTGTGAGTGTGTGTGTGTTTGCATGCGCTCATGTGGGTGTGTGTGCACACAGAGGTCAGAGGACAGCTTGCAGAAAGCTTGCAGTAATAAATTCTTTCCTCACAACATGTGGGTCCCAGGGACAGAACTTGGACTGCCAGGCTTAGAGACAGGTATTTCACCTGCATCTGACTGACTCCCTAGCCATAAATCCTTGATCCTCCTGCCTCTACCTCCCAAGTGTTGGGATTAAAAGATCTAGATCACAACACTTGGTTTGATTTGGTTTTTCTATTCCAGGACTCCCAGTCCAGCCTAGGCTACCCTAGACCCCTCTGTCCTCCTGCCTCAGTCTCCCAAGCAGAACAATAACAGGTTGGGTACCACAACAGCCAGGTTTCCTTATCTTTATCATTCGGCCTGGTATTGACTCCACTACTTAGAAAATAAGCATGAACATTTGCTGAATAAAGTAAAGGTGATTCTTGTCAATAAATAACCAAGGAGATGTTCAAAACACTTCTGCGACTGAAGACATGTCTTCACTCAGAAGAGTCTATAGACTAGAAGGCACGGGAGGGAGACAAGGAGTGCAAAGGGTGGGGCAAGTAGAGAGAAGTATTGGAACTTGTCTTTAAAAGTATTTATTTTGCTTATATTTCTCTGTGTGTGTGTGTGTGTGTGTGTGTGTGTGTGTGTTTGCATGTGTTCTCTGTTTTGTTCTTTTAAAAAATATATGATGATGGGATGTCCCGGGCGGTTCGCGGAGTCCGACAAGGATGGCCGTGAGTCCCTGCAGTGCCATGCGGCCAGGGGAGTCAGGCGGGCGGTTACGGCAGGTAAAAGGCTCATAGGACATAGTATTATTTAAAGAAGAGGGAGACATTTATTGCTTAAAGAAGAGAAAAACAGAGAGAGAACAAAGACACACGTACACACGAGATGAGACAAACACACACACGCACACGCGCGCGCGCACATACACACACACACACACACACACACACACACACACACACCAGAGAGAGAGAGAAGATGGCTGCGGGGGAGGTCCAAAAGTGGCTGGGGTGGGCGTGGTTAATTCTTAAAGTGGCAGCAGAAGACTAACATTCCCGGATCCTTTTTATAATAAAAAGTAGAAGGTTAGACATTACAGGTTGAAGGAATTGGGGCAGCGAATTCTCAAGACTGCTTCCAGCTGATTTGTGGGCATCGTCTTTGGGAGGTGTGGGGGTGAGGGAGATCTGAGAGAAGCTGGGTGTTGGTCACATTCTGGCATAGCTGGTCTCTGCTCCCGACAGGACAGGTGTCTGTGGCATGGAAATGTCTGGTGTCCCTTGGACCTGGTTAGGGTATTGGCAGAACAGAGGACAAAGTTAAATTGAGAAAAAATTTTAGGACCAGGGAATTGAGAGGTTTGTATCTGACCTGTTTATGATGGGTTTTTTAATTCGGCTCCCTGGAACTCATAAGAAAAACAGAAGTTTTAGACATATACATTGTATTAAGAACTCCTTGGGTTTGTAAAAACAGAAATTATAATGAAAAGTATTTTTATTTGGTGAGACAACCTGGGAAAACCTCTCAGCTATCAGACTGTCAGAGATCTTTGAGAAGGATAAGATTTTACTTGAGTTACTGATTAAAAAATGACAGAGAACTTACTTGGTTGGCACCCAGAGCTACTCTTTGGTCCTCCCTGGTCGCTGAAGGTTGCATTTGACCTTTGTTGTTTAATGTAGAGCCTGCCAGGCTTTTGAAGACCCTGTGGACCAAGAAATCTTTAGGAAGACAGGTCTACCTTACCTGCGCAGCTAGACTGTCGATTCCAGTGATCCTGTCCACATTTGGAGGTCTCCAGTTTAGGTGAAAGGCAGTTTTTTGCCCAATGGTCAGCACTTGGCAGTCGAAGCAAACTGCAGATGGACGGTGGTCAGTGACGGTTTGTCTTATGTCTTCTCGGAGGAAACAGAGTGCTTACTAGGAGCCAACCTGTCTCTTTTTGTTATGAAAAGTTTTTTAAATAATTAAACAATTAATATTGCATTCCTCAGATCTCTGAGCAGTTGAGGGCTGATTATTAGGTGTGGCTGCAGTATAGAATCTGTCTGGAAGATTGGGTTTGAGTTTGACTGTGTTGACTCTTAATAGGTAAGATCCACATTTGTAAAAAGACAGGCAGAAAGAAAAAAAACTGTTTGTAACATTAAGATTAGTGGCAGAACTGATGATGGTAGAAAACAGCTTAAAAGTCCATACCAGTTTATGATTTTGTAGTCTGAAACGAGATGAAATGAACAATCATTATACATAGAGAACAGGAATTAGGCAGAATGCATGCTCTCTGATGGGCCCTATCAGAAAGCATGTCAGTATGCAAAACACCTGTAATCACAGCTAAGGAGAGGATTTCAGTGAACACTGAGGAGGGGGAGGGGAAAGCAGGACATACAGAACAGTGGGAGGGCCTGGTCGCGTGATCTGGCTCTCAGTGACTCTAGCGATAAAGTCACCTGACCCCAATGAACATGGCGGTGGCCACGTGTTGTGGCTTGAATGGAAAGACCGTGGGAATTTTAAAAGCCGGGGCTGCCTGGTTGTTATGCAGAGTCTGAATCATGAAAAACCCATATAAACAGATAATTTAAGGCATATTTAGGCTGGTACGACTTGCTTTCCCAGGTCAAGACCGTGAAAATCCCGCAAAAAAAAAAAACGTGGCATCTCGAGCCTATGGGGAACGGCTCCCCGTTTAGGTGAGATGTAAGCGACCATCCGAAAACATGCGCCCAGGCGTCCGAGTGCCCATGTGGGATGGTATCGGCTGAACCGGATCAGCTAATTACGTCCGTGAGAAAGGTTGGAAGGAAGAAAAGACTGAAATAAAGAGGAAGAAGCCTGGGAACCCCGGGTCCCCAGGTACGGGAATGCACTGGCTTAACAGAGGACATAAGCCGTAATGGATGCCAGCGACAGGGCGGAGAAGTACCCCTCCCCGAGCCCAGACACACCGGGAGGACCGGTCAATCCCGGGTTAAAAAGGCTCAGATAAGCTGGCTGGAGTGAGGAAACTTACAATTAGAAGCCGGTGTTGTTTGTAGAAAGGAGTCCAGGCAGTTGGCGGGGTTGAGGAAGGCCCTCGGTCCGATTCAATCCCGGAAATTGGAGCTCAGAGTCCCGGACAATATGTGAAGCCGGGACCGGCCCTTGGCGGGTGAATCTGTGGAGTCCGCGACACCAAAATATTATTCTTTTAAAAATAATACCATGGTGGGATGTCCCAGGCAGCTCGCGGAGCAACTGCAAATGGCAGCGCCATGCGGCCGGGGAGTCAAGGTCCCCGGGCGAGCGGCAGAGTCAGGCGGTGGACGACAGAGTAAATGGACATAAGGCTATATATAAAGCTAGACATTTATTACTTAAAGAAAGGAAAACATAGACAAACATAGAGAGAACAAAGACACATACACACACACACACACACACACACACACACACACGCATGCACACACCCCCCCACACACACACACAGGCACCAGAGAGAGAGAGGGAAGATGGCTGCGGGGGAGGTCCAAAAGTGGCTGGGGTGGGCGTGGTTAGTTCTTAAAGTGGCAGCAGAAGAATAACACTCTGGGTCCCCTCTTTATAGATGGCTGTGAGCTGCCCATGTGCATTCCAGGAATGAAATTCCAGCCCCCTGCAAGAGCAACAAGGGCTCTTAAGCCTCTCTTCAGACCTTGAATGTTGTTTAATCATAGGAAAGGAAAGTTTTATCATAAATTTACTTCAGCCCAGCTGTGCCAGCATCACATCTTGTAAAAGATGTAGATTTTTCTATTAAGAGTTTGTCAGTGACTATGTTAATAGGACAGTTCACGGCTAGCATTGAGCTGCTGTGGCTTTGGTTTCATATAGAAAGACAAGTTCCTCCCGCCTTGGACAGATCCGGTGAAAGCCCCACCTCACTTAGCTGTTTTATATGCTTTTCCTGGGCAGCGACTGTGGCATAAGATGTTGGAAACACAAGACCTGAAGTCACACTGCTCTTATCTGGCCAGGGTTCGTCACTTCACTGTGAGCCTCAACTCCATTACTTGGCCTTGTGGTGACTGAAAATCTGACAGAATCAACTCAAGGAGCAAGGATTGGTCCATGGTTTCTATCCATCATGGTAGCACAGCTCAGCTGAGGTGGCAAGAGCCCACAGCTGAGACTTTCATATCGCTATTACAGCAGGAAAGAGGACGGGGAGAAGAGGGGACTTACATAACCTTCAAAACCTGCCCCTAGAGACCCTCTTCTTCCAGTTAAATCTCCACCTTCTAAAGGTTCCAGAACCTTCCCAGATAGCACCACCAGCTGGGGAAAAACATGTGAAACATTATCCTATGGCATTTCACAGTCAAATGGAAGAGTCTCCCTAGCTATAAGATAGAAAAGAGAAAGAAGGTTCCTACCTCAGAGGCGCTGGTGAATATTAGGAGCTGCTGGGGCTGCCTGGGGGAAGCTCTGGAGACTGAGCTGCTGTCTTTATCCTTGCTCATTCATCCTCACAGCTCCTGGTGAGCTGGACACAATGACTCCACCTTATCAGTGAGTTGGAGTTGAAAGGCAGCTTCCCCTGGGCCCCGAGGGCCAGAAAGCCTGGGATCTTTGTCTCCCAAGGCTTCCTCAGGAGACCTGGGGCAGGATACCTTAGGAATGCATGGTTAACTGAAGTTCCAAATTCGCTTTACACAATAGCCTAGGCCTCTCACATTAATTGTTCTTGCCTTCAGTAAAAGTGAGACCACTGCTCATGGGAAGAAGGGCTGTGAGGTGGTACAATTTTTCTTCACTATAAGAAATTTCCCCCAAACAACTGGCTTTGTTAGGAAGTAGAATAATAGCTGTCTTTTTCTGTGCTGTGTCCCTGGCTTCTTTCCAAATCCAAGCCCATGATCTCTTCATTGTGTGTTTTGTTTTAATCAGGAAAGACCTGAAATTTGGCTCTGAAAATTTCCTTAATCTGTAAGAAGAAATAACCCCCTGGAAGTCCAGTTATTATGAATGAAAAGGAAAAACAAGGCTCTGACCAGAAATGCCCACACGGAAGGCACGGGGCTTTCAGAACAAAATTGCCAAATTCATGTCATATCCCTTCTTGAACATGTCCTAGAGAAATCTGCCAAAGGCAACAAAGGTCACTGCTTCCAGAGAAGGTCTTCAGAGGCGGTGATGGTGACAGTGTTCCCCTCTGGCCTAGCTTAGAAGGGGAGACTGGAATCACACCTCTGGAGAACGCTCCCTTCCTTCAGGGCGACAGGGGTGCCACATTGCCTGTGACTTCCCAACAGCCTTCTCCAGCAATTCCCAGGACACTTGCTTCCAGAAATACCTCTTCCTTTGCTTCAATCCACCAAGAAGCCCTGAGGGCGGCCATTCACCGTTAGGGGAGCAACAACAGCAAGGGGGACCCTACAAAAGGGAGCAAAGGCAGAATTGTGAGAAATGAACATAGACAGGAAGGGGCATTGTGTGCACACAGTGTTTGCAGTATTTATATCTGACTGCTTGTCCTCAGCCTGCCTCAGTTTCCTCTTAGGGAGAACTAATGGTCTGGAAGAGTGAGTGTGAAAGTTGGCACAAGCTGCATGGATCCAAGAGTCCTCTGCCTGGCTAAGGAAGGGAAATACACTTCTAATAGACCGCAGAAAGACAAGGTTGCCATTGTTTAAGATGGTGCCAGCCTGGTTACACAGAACTGTAATTCCTGCTGCTACTCCTAAGACTGAGGCAGGAGGATCACAAGAACAAGGCCTACCTATGTTAGAAAGTTTCACACCAACTAGGACAACTTAATGACCCCTTGTCTCATAAGAAAAGGGGGCGTGTTTTGATTAAAGGTGGTGCTTGTTTATCATGCTGGCTTGGAAGAACGTTGGGACGTGATTACTAATTTAAGCTCAGCATGGTTCATTTTCTATAGGGCAATCAAATAATGACATAGGTGCTGTCTTTCCTAATACAAAGACTTTAAATTATATCTGTATCAGACAAAAAAAATCTAAAATTAACATGAAAGTTCAGAGAATTAGAGCCAAAATCAATAGAAAATATTGAGCCAAACACAGAGAAAACCTATAGACAATTCAATAATTATTGAGTGGTACTTTAGTCCATTTGTTCTGCTGGGACATAGTCCCAAAGGCTGGGTATCTCATTGCAACAGAAATCTGTCTCTCATTCTGAAAGCTGAAGCTGGGAATGGCAGCTACTTCCTGGATGGCCTTCCTTTCTGACATCCTCTTGTGGTGGGAGGGTCAGTGGAGTATCTGGCTATGCTTTTGCAAGGGCACTAATTTCTCATGACCCGATCACCTCTCAGAGGACAAACACTTCATGGCATTACTTGGGGGTTATGTTTTCAGTATGAATTTGAGGCCATGGTATGTTCAGCTACTCGATTAGACCTGATCCAATAGAGAAATATGTCATTTCTAGTCTCACTGTCGGGTGTGTGTGTGTGTGTGTGTGTGTGTGTGTGTGTGAGAGAGAGAGAGAGAGAGAGAGAGAGAGAGAGAGAGAGAGAGAGAGAATCTCTCATTCAACCTGGAGCTCACTCTTTTTTGACTGTCTCTGGTCACAGCACTGGAGTTACAGAAGTGTCCTGACACACCTGGCTTTTTCTGCAGGTGCTGGGTATCAGAATTCATCCGGGTCCTCATGCTTAAAGAGCAAGCAGTTTACCCACTGAGCCATCTACCCAGCCCTCACTCTCTAGTTGTAAACAGAATTGCTCATTAGAAATAATTATCAAACATTAATTTTGGTTATCCATATTAAAAAGAAAAAGAAATTTCCCAGTGTTGGACTAATTTACACAAAGGAGCCAAGAACTCTTAGAACCTGTGGCACATAGTCAGCAAGTTAATTCGTGTATTAAATTCGTGTATTAAAACTCTGAGATGAAACCAGTATGTAAATTCTCTTTTTCCAACAGCTATGTTTATTTACTTTTCTTTTGTCCTGTAGTTGCCCCTGTCACAAGCTAGGAATTCAAGAGACTCCCTCACTTCCACCAGCTTCCCTGTGGTTCTGACAGCTGGGGAGCCTCCTCTTGCTGCAAGTCCCCTTTCAGCTGAGATCCTGTCAGGCAGGAAGTGATTCTAAGAAAGGCAGCCCCACCCCCAGCACAGGACCGTGTCAAAGGCCTTGGGCTAATTAGCCCACAGAGGAAACCCGCTACTCTCCAGTGCTGTCTCTCACTAGACGTAGCTTCTTAAAGATTTCATTTGTATGTTTATGTGTGTCCTTGTGTGTGGGTGTGTGCACATGAGTGTTGCCCTCTGACGCTAGAAGATGGCTTTGGGATCTGTGAATCTGGAGTTAGAGGCGGTTGTGAGCCACCCCATGCTGGCATTGGGAACTGAATTCAGAACATCTGGGGGAACAGACAAGCTCTTAACAGCTGAGTTACTGATTCAGTGCCTAGAATTTATTTGTAAAGATGACATTCTAAGACTCCCCGACACCCTAGACCTATCAGCCAATCAGACTGTACCTCACACCTCATAAACCTCTTTATGCCTATTTGTTTGCCAAAGAAAAGTTCTTCAGATGAAAATAAGAATATCAAAATGTGTTTATTTAATCTTTTAATAATTTTTAACAGTGTAACTTCAGAAGCCACCGACATCACATATGCAGTCACTCTTAAGCCAGTTAAACGTGATTCTTTCTTTCGAAGTCTGTGTCCACCCTGTTTTCCCCTTTCTCCCAGACTTAAATCTGTATTACAACCTGTCTTGAGATACTTTAAGTGTGGCTAAGAAATTTCTCAGTGGTTAAAACTTTTACCATACAAGCTTGAAGACTGAAATTCTGGATACACTGGTATGATAGACATCTCCAATTGCAGTCCTGGAAGGCAGAGACAAGATCCCCCAGAGTAAGCGGGCTAGTTAGATTATACATACAGGCAAGCTCTAGGTTCTAGTGAGAGACCCTGCTCCAATGAATATTATAGGAGAGGGATTATGAATGATTCCTAATGTTAATCATGGGCTCTTACACACATGCACACACACATGCACAAACACATACAAACATGCATACAATACCAAACACATGAAAATAGGGGAGGGCTCTAATTTTGCAGAGAAGTTGAGCAGGATTACAAACCAATTATCAGAAATCACAGGAAGAAGCTCCTCACACTATTAGGCTAGCTATATTGAGAATCCAGAAATGTGGAGGACCGCAACCACATACTCCATTACAAGATGGCGCTGGCATCTGGTTTCACCGCCAGGTGAACAAGATGACGCACATGTGCTTGGTAACTTCCCACTGCTGTCCCTGCCTACTCCCAAGGCATCATCTGGGATAATGGGCAGCGGACCAATCCAAGAGTGACACGTCTGAAGCGAGGACTGTTTCCTATATAAGGGATGGGTTCCGTCATTCTGGGTCTCTGCTTTGGAAGCTTATGCTCTCTCTCTCAAGACGCATTAAAGCTTTTCTGCAGAAGGATCCTAAGTGTTCCGCGTCATTCTTGCGGGCGAGACGGTAGCTCAGGATATCTGGTGCCTGAAACCCGGGACGCCGGGGGACCCTGACCACTGCTCGCACCGCCGGAGACCCCTTGGACACAAGGAGGATTCAGAACTGCAGGTCTGTTTGCTCAGAGAGGTATGACTATTCCTGGACTTTTCGATTTTGGGCTTGACTTGTCTCCGCATTGGGAAGGTTTTGTAGAGGCCTTGGTACTTCTTTTAGCAGTTCTCTTTTTTCTCGTCAGGAATTGTTTAGAAGATAAATCCTGCCAGGCGGTTGTTGCAGAGGGACAAAGTGTATTGGAGGAAGTCCAGGATAGCATATCAGAAACTGAGTGCAGTGAGAGGTTGGGCGCGCGCAAGAAAAGGACAGTCCCAGATAAGGAAAAAGGACCCCCCGGTGGTTCTAAGATAATAAGAATGGGGGAGAAGACTGACCTACAAGGTCAAAAGCTTTCTGTTACCAACAATAAGAAAAAAGGAAAGAACAGTAGTTTATATCCTCTGCAGGAGCTCGAAGCTCTGCAAATTGAAAGTGACCATGAAAGTGAGCACGAAAGTTCTGGCTCAGGAGAAGAGGTAGAAGAACTAGATACAGAGGAGGAGGCAGAATTAGAAGAAGAAGCGGCTAGATATGAGAGGGAAAGATATTCCCATAATGGGGCTCGGTCTCCCAGCGGTAGGGCCATGAGATCATCCCAAACGGCTCATCCGCCTCCTTATGAGCCGCGCCGTCCCCCAGCTGCCCCTCCGGCGCCTCCTTATGAGGAACGCCTTGGGTCAAAGACTTTTTCATTTATCCCTGACAAGGTCAAGAGAAAGTTACACTTGGCCTTCCCCGTTTACGAAGGGGAAAACGGGCGGGTGCATGCACCTGTGGAGTACAACCAAATAAAAGAGTTAGCAGAGTCAGTCAGAAAGTATGGAGTGACTGCTAATTTTACCTTAGTCCAATTGGACAGATTGACCTTGACTGCCATGACTCCGGCTGACTGGGAGACAGTTGCAAAAGCGTCGCTCGTCAGCATGGGTCAATATTTGGAGTGGAAAGCCCTGTGGCATGAGGCGGCCCAGGAACAGGCCAGAGCTAACGCTCAGGCCTTAACTCCAGAACAACAACAATGGACCTTTGACCTCCTGACCGGGCGAGGGCACTTCACCGCTGCCCAGACAAACTATCCTTATGGCGCCTACTGCCAGGTAGCCAATACAGCTATAAGAGCATGGAAAGCCTTGTCAAAAAAGGGAGAAGGGAGCACTCTGCTCACCAAGATTATACAAGGGACTCAGGAGCCTTTTTCAGATTTCGTGGCAAGAATGACTGAGGCAGCAGGATGCATTTTTGGCGATACTGATATGGCCACGCCACTCATCGAGCAGCTCATTTTTGAGCAAGCCACGCAGGAGTGCCATGCTGCCATAGCCCCTAGGAAAAATAAAGGGCTACAGGACTGGCTCAGGGTCTGTAGAGAACTAGGAGGACCCCTGACGAATGCAGGTTTGGCTGCAGCCATCATGCAGTCACAAAAACACCCTTTTACAGGGGCCAGACACAAGAGTTTGCTTTAAATGTGGGAAGCCAGGACATTTAAAAAAGGATTGTAGGTCATCAGAAAAGGAGAGAGCGCCTCCTACCCTTTGCTCGCACTGTGGTAAAGGTTATCATAGGACTGAGCTCTGCCGCTCCGTTAGGGATGTCCATGGCAAGATCCTCCCACTATTAGGAAACCCACAGACTGATGGTCCAAAAAACGGGATGATGGGCCCTCGGTCCCAGGGCCCCCAAAAATATGGGAACAAGTTTGTCAGGGCAACAACCGAGGGACCCTCGGAAGCAGAACAAGAATGGACTTGTGTGCCTCCACCGACTTCCTACTGATGCCCCAAATGGGGGTACAGCCTGTCGCTGTGCAGCTGCCT